TTTTTTTAAAAAAAATGCTTGCATATCTAAGGAACCCTATAAATCCGAAGTTGATATTCACCCTAAAAATAAATTAGGATAAAATCAACAGTGGTTTGAGTTTTTGGTAACAAAAGTTGAATGTGATTTGAAAATATCCAATTTATTTGTTTCTGAATTCTCAGCTGTAACAAGATCTTATTACTCATTCAGGATACTGACTACGCTACGGACTGCACGACCGGGTTCGGTTCCCGGCATGGTGGGTTCTTTTATCTTCGCCACGAGTCCAGCCTGGCTCTGGGACCCACTCATCCGCCCATCCAGTAGGTTTAGGGACTTTTTACTCTGGAGTAAAGCGACCGTGGAGTGAATCTGACTGCTCATTTCTCTCCAGAGCGGAGGATAAGAATGCGTGGAGCTATACCTCCATCCCCGACTCCTGTGCATGGTGTGGTGCATAGTTAAGCACCAGGGACAGTTTTAATTCTATTGTCGATCCAGTTTCATCCAGAATTTTTCGATTCCATCAATATATTCTGTCTGTCGCGGTTGCTGTTCGTGTTTCGGGAACAGTATATTTTCTCCTTGTATGTTAGCTGTGTTGTAGATGGCAAATTGAAGAGTGAGTGAGTCTGATATCAGCGGTATTGAAACTTGGGCTCTTTCAACCAGAGAGAGAGACAGTCCAATGTTTTACATCTCATCTGATCTGCAATGTATGGCTGTACATAGAACTGATACATAGATTAAATAGATAGATTAGATAAATAAAGTAGAATAGTGACTGAGTGAGTGTGTCTTCAACGCCATTTAATTTGGTTGTTGGACCGTGTGGCCTAACGGATAAGGCGTCGGACTTCGGATCCGAAGATTGCAGGTTCGAATCCTGTCACGGTCGTATTTTTTTTATTATTAATATTGTTTGTTGCTACAGTATTTATTTCTAAATATGAAATATAAAGAACAAAATAACTGATACACACATTGTGAATATAAATTTGGACCGAATGATCACACGATGTGTTTTTGAAACTAATTTGAACTTAATTTTCTACACTGGATAGTAGCCTAACCCACATTTACAGTTTCAAATTTTTTTTACGAAGAGAAACATGAACTGATAAGTGATTTAATTTAAATATGTGATTACACCGGCATAAATCTGTTGTTTGAACCAGGTACAGCAGTTTAATTTTTTCTGCTACAGTTGTAACGGTTGTGCAGCCATGACTCAGTTGACAGAGTCTCGTTTGTGAAAATAGTTTGCATTTTGAGAAACTGAGGTTGACATTAGGAGGTTATAGCAGGAGAGACAGTAAGAAATTATCTGACTTGTCGTGAAAAAGAGGTGCCTTAGGTCTATTTGTGTTGCAAAATAAGTTTATTTCCGTACGTAAACAAACTATTAGAAACGCTGTAATCCAACGTGTGTGAGTGGAAGAAGGAGCCATGTTTCTACCCTGCATTTTGGTGATACCTGTAAGACAGTGTATTGTCGCGCCTGAGTGTTAGTTACGAATTAATGGTACACTGATAACTTGAAAAAGCAGACCATAATTTTAGATGTGACAACTCGTGTGTAAAATGCTGTTTATATTTAAACATATAAAGTGCAAAAGAGAGAGATCAAGAGGCGTCTGGCCAGCCAAGGCCGACTGGAAGTCAATTAATTTTGCCCAGCTTACTAGACTGAATATCGGTTTGAACATATTTCATATTAGAAATTCCTAATTAGGATCTCGTATTTTGATAATATACCTTTATACCAGCCTCCTATCCAATGGGTACCGGGGTCCTTTCCCGGGGGTAAAGCCGGCCGGGGCGTGACGCTGACCACTCACCCCCATCTAGTGCCGAGGTCAAGAAAGAGAGGAGCTATATCTCCGCTCCCCCTAAACGACCTACATGGCGTATAGAGGGACTGCTTTACTTTCCTTACTTTTATATTGCAGAGCCTCAGCGGTTTCTGAAGTGCGATTATTAAAATTTGTTACTCTTTACCGTTTAATTTGAAAATTCAGTCAACTAAGAGTGACGTGCTGATCCATCGTCTGACATCGTAGAAAGAAGTTAAGACGTAAGATGAAGTAACTTCCACGTCTTGAAAACATAGACCAAAATGGAGTAAATGGCACTTGTGAGGCAAGGGGGGGGAGTTATTCTGACATTAGAAAACCACAGGAAACCTCAGGTTAGTACCTTGAAGCGCTGAGCTTATCTAAATAATATAATAACAGTTGGGCTCGTACCTTTCAGAAAACACCTCATCTCCGTTACAAAGATCAGTCGGTTAATGTGTAAGGATATAATTGGTGTTTGTAATGAGACCAGAAAAGAACACGCAAGTACAATCTCTAGGCTTAATGAAGAGTTGTTGAACATTGAAGCAGTACGTATGCTGTAATTGTCATTGTGCTGCTAAGAATTGGCAGGCCTGTGCTTTCTAGAAACACTGGATGAGCACAGAAGAACTTTAAACTTTCAAAATGATACAGTAAACAAATGAGGCGTATTTAGAACTTCGCACTTACATGTGGTAGAAGAACTCTCAACGTTTTGTACACACCTCACAGAGAGTTAATACGTGCTCCGCGATTCACACGACAGACGCCGAGACGAGACGTAATTCCAACTCGTCCCAAACTTTGTGCGGTGTTCCTAGTGATGGGAGCTGTGGCAGTTGTGATTCGAATTTCTTATACCAGGCGTGGTCTGCATTCCTATTTCATATCCAGGGTGCCGCGAGTTCGATTTTAGACTTGTGGGCGTCTGTCCTGAGTGCTGAGTGACTTTTTTGTGGTTAGTTAGTTCCTTCAGTCTACTTTTAAATATGGTAGTCCACATTCTTTGACATTATTTTTAATTCTTCCAGTGTCATGCTGATTAAACTGTGTAGTTGAGGAAGCATCGTTAAGAAAACTAAGGACTACCATTTTGATTGGTACGACTAATGCATTTCAAACGAGTTGGTTTACAGTTTTAATATGCATGCGTGCAGCGGAACAGAGTTTTGCGTGGTAGGAAGTTTTAACTGTTAAGGATATCTGGGGTTATTCCGTTAGCTGGTATTACAATTGGCATGTTGTTGCGTTTATTATGTTATGCATATGTCCGTGATGGCCTCCGTTTGTGTATAAGGTTATCCAGTTTCTTTTCTAGCGTCCCATAATTGTGCAGCTCGTAAGCAATAACAGTTTCAAGGTCCGAAAACCCGACTTCACTATTTCCTTCGTCGGTTTTCCATACGTAACTGCGTAGAAGAAGAATTGAACGTTACGCAGACGCACGAAGATTTGATATTGAAATGTGAAATATTTAATGATGCTGCCTTAGCTTTAGAATTTGTTTAGCATCGAATAAAATGAGAATGTAATTACGTATCCTTGGGGGGGGGGGTGACTTCACATACATTGGCCTGGAATAAACCTTGTGTTCCACGTCCATTTGAATTAAAATTCAACCGAATCAGTAGAAAGGAAATATGTTCTGTCCAAACTGTAAACATCGTGTAGGATTTGAAGTTCTCGCTTCGGTGTGTGTGACGATGGCTGTCCTCTGGGTTTTAGTGTAGTCTGGTAAAGTCTGCCGCTGTTTCAGAGGCAATAAACACCTCTGGAATTCTACAGCGTCGGTAAATTTCTACCAGACTACACGGCGCTACAACACAGAAGACAGGGATCTTCATAAACATTTCGCAGTCGCAATACTTTATAGCTTTCTCTCACGATCTATGACCGCAGTGTTTTTAGTTTGCCTTCTACGTGCTGTTTGGTTCCAGGCATTGTACTATAAGAAATTCGCGTCATGTAATTCGACTGGATAGACGGTGTAAAAGTACGGAAACATTCAACCGGGAGTACACCAGTTCCCAGCCGACATGCGAATCGGACATCTCCTGAATACAAATTAGAATGCCTAGCGCCTGAGCTTATCTGCGCAATATAAATCTTAAAACAGCCAGTCACGCCTGCCATAAAGCGTAGAGGCTCTGCTAATAGTTCGGTAGACTATTTGTGCGTTCGCTTTGTTCACTGATGTTACAATCAACAATGGAAAATCTATATTGAAATTGAATCTATTTGCTTTTTGCGTAAATAATTGGTCTCGTATATTCATTTATTACAGATACAAATATCTGTCAGTGGACTCTATACAGACCTGTATGTTTAAGGAAGCGTCGTGAAGTGGAATGTCATTGTTTTGACAGATTTGTCCTGCTTAATATTCGCTGTCATCCTGACAGAACAGAAGAGCATCGTGGGACATTTCTGAACACGTACATTTTGCTAGAAGTGTCATCGCAGACGTAAAATTATTTTTTCGTGTAAAAAACAAAAACCAACTGATGGAGGACAACCGTGGTTGTTTTCTCTGCAACCCTTGTACGAACATCTTGATAATGTTGTACAACCTATGCACGTTTTCCATATCCGAAACTACTCAGCTGACTGATTAAGTATGGTATATGACTTCTAGCCTAATGGTGTGTTTCTTTCACGTTTCTCGACCAAAATTTTTTGTATTTTTCATTTCCCACTATGCATCTTATGTGTTCCGTCCATGTCACATTCTTTGATTTAATCAGCCACTATAACATTGTTAGAAAAAGAGTACGGATAATGTAGATTTATGAAGAGAGCTGTCTTCTGGGTTGTTGCGCCGTGAGGAAGTTTACCGGCGTTTCAGAGGCGTTTGCTGTCTCCATCATCAAGACGATTTCCAGACGCCATCTTCATACTTTCCGCCTTGAGAACCTCAATTCTCACTATGTATATGAAAGAGCGTCATACTTCGTTTTCTGAGGCCCAAATATTCTCCCCACTTCGTCTTAAAACATACAAACTCTAGCTGCAGCTGGACATGTGTGTGTGTTTATTGTGTAGTATTGAGTCGTATGGCCGTCTCGTTCCGATTGCTCCACTGTGTGGCGCGCACTGTACTGGGGCTTTATCGATTAGAAAGCCGGGGATGGTGCAGCGACCTCTTCTGGTCCAGAACTCAGTCTGCAGAATGATACCGTACACCACGTGTCTGTGCTACAGGAGGCAGTCGGCCAACCGGTGGGTCATCGTCCACCCAACAGGACAGGACCACAACATCAAGGTCTGTATAGAGACAGTCATAACAGTTCCGTTCCTGATTCAAGGACTCGTCGAGTTAGGTTCAAATCTGCGGGAGAACAATCTGTCTCGTATTTTTTGATTTCTTATGCCACGCATCTCGTTCAGAAGCACTTTGTTCCTTGCAGACTGGATGTATTTGGTATTTGAGATCAGTGAAACAAACTTGTCATGCCATATCTGGACATGGATTTTCATCACCATAAATTATACTTGGTTTTTTAATTTGTGATAGGAACGTTTCTTTGAATAAAAAGCAACCGATTACTTACATAGCATATTCTCTTTAAATTTGAAAGAAGTAACGTACACACCAGTGCCAACTGTGAATACAACCAAATTTATTTAGCAATTGTTTCGATTTATAAATTCTGCACCACTGCAGGAGAAATCGTGTAATCAAATCACTGAGGTTTAGGTGAGGGTTTATTATTATCAGTGTTTGTTGTTATCCGTTCCAAAACAATTCCAGAAGTACGTAGTTGTTTGTTCATCCATATTGCCCTGCTGTCTGTCTTTCGTGAGTAGCAGAGATCAAACTACGTGAGCGATTTTGTTGAAACTCGGTATAGAAGACCTACACCAAATGCTACCAAATGTTTTCCATGTTTGGTTAGTTTTCTTTCTTTAAGGATTATATTTATATGATTTGAAGCTTTTACTGCGACTAAACTCATGTCCTCGGACGATCAGTCGCCTCAGTTGGTTACACGAAGCGACCCGATCATCAGATTACTGATGGTGGCATCTGAGATGGTTCCCGTAACGTTGGTCGCTTCGTGTAACCAACTGACGCGGCTGAGTGCCCGAGAAAATTTTATTAAGGACTATATTAATTGAGGCCCAAAATTGAATTTTGCGTAGTTATTACATCTTTTGATATTTCAAAAGTGTTGGTCAACTTAATTTCCGGCATTTTGGAATATGAGAATTATGCTTTCGTTTTATTTATTTCAAAGAATTTAACGCTTACGTTACTTGAGAACTTTAATTCATTTTGATCTTATGTCGTGAAGTATTCAATCGAAGGAGGAAAATCCAAAATTAATCGTATCCATAAATACGCATCTTACAAAATATTTGTATACCCTTCACTAGTTTTTGGAAAATTTATATTGCATTGTGCTCCATAGAAATCGGTGTCGAATCTTCTGCTATCGCCCTGCCATCTAACAATGTCCATTCGTTTAACAGCGCATTAATTATACTTAGCAGACATATTTCATTAACCATTTCTTCTAATGCTACATTCTTCAACAAAATTAGATTATTTTAAACCAGCATTGATGAAACTTCAGATTCTGAAATGTTGCACCGTGTGTCTCATAGAAATTTAACCCAGCGTTTCAGAGGTGCTTAAAGCCGTAATCATCAGGACGCCCTGATGAGGGATGCAGCACTCACCTCTGAAACGTTTGTAAATTCCACGAAACATCTCAGAAGACATTGTTCAGACGAAGAAGTAAGATAAATGAGATAGATATGGCATGTAGCACGCAAAGGGTAAACAAGAAATGCTTACAACATTTTCGACGTGAGTCCTCAACGGGAGAGAACACTATGGAGACTTAGGTGTAGCTGGAAGGATAATATTAAAGTAACTTGTAAAGAGATAGGTTGTGAAGTGGCTTATTACAGGGTCCAGTAATACATATTTTGCTATGAGGTAATTAACCTTTCAGTTACATGAGAGGGGGTGGAATTTCTTGCCTGAGCTGTTGATAGCTTCTCAAGAAATTAGTTACTGGTTTGTCTGTTATTACTTAACGGTCTTAGGTATTAGGCAGGGGTCTGGGGAATTAATTTTGTTTCGTGTCTGTGCAGCACAACCTGTAATTTAAATAAATATTAAATTAAAGGGTTTATTTTGCCCCAAATCAATTTAAGGTATTAAAGAATCTTTCATAACACGTAAACAGAGATTCTTCTTTATTTGTTTCTTTGTATGTTCGTTCCTTTCAGCGTGTCGTGTCAGCAGAAATCAATTTGTGTCATGTCTCAGATTATTTTGCCCTTATCAGTGGTCAACACATGATAGCATTGCTTCTCGGATAATCGCCCTGACGATGGTTACACCGTTGCGTATCAGGGATGCCAACATGGGACAGAGTTGTACCACTGCAATTTTGGATCGACATAAATATTCTTTCAGAAAGTTTTAGGGTAGGCTTATTATGATATTTATAAGGTTAAGTCTGATTATGTTAGGTTCTCTGGATTCGATAACGTTGGTTAACGTTGAAATGTGTTGAACTAGCTTGTGTTGGAGAGGGGATGTGACAGCTTGGAAGACCTAGTAAGAGAAGGGTTGGCAATGTTAAAATTTATCTTCAATCATAGTTTGAATTTGATTTACGACAGAGGATAGTGACCAGTTGCGGACTCATGTGACGACGGTAGTGAACTTCCGACTTTTGTAAAGGCAGAACATTTCTTGATTGGCAGAAATAGTTACTAACTTCTCAAGAATAACTCTGCGTCTTGGAGTTAGTTATGTATTGTTTGGTTTTTGTTAGGCGTATTATTTGTACGTTGTGTGTGACTCAATTTATTAAAGATGGTTATCGTTTCGACGATACGCGTGGTCACTGCGATTAAACTGGTATAAAAGCCCGTCGAAATTTAACGGGGAATAAATTGGATTTGAGACTTGGTTCCCTAAATGTCGGTTTATTACGGTAACTAATTAACGCGGCTGATTGCCCGAGAAGATTTTATTGGGGGAATAAATTCTTTCGTATCTTAATCCTTCACCCCTTGCGCGTCTGAGTCTCCTCGGCCTCCCTCACCGAGTCTTTGTTTTCAGTTCACACGTCACATCACATTGTCTAAAACCAGTTACATAAATGAGGTACGACATTTTTTTATAAAGTGACTTAACAAACTCACTTTAAGTAAAACAAACAAACAAACCCACGCTTTATAAAGTGAAAATATTCAGTATTCAGCACACTGAACTCATTTAATTGAAACAATAGAAGACTAAAATAGTTGTCTAAATTTGCCCATATTATGGCCGTAACTCTTAAGGTGATCATGTACGATATCCGACAAAAGAACGTTTTATGGCAGCCGTCGTACGTGTTAGGGCAAATGCCAGGGCGATCTTCGTGACGTTACTTCAATTTAAATATGTCGTCTCTGAGACACGGTTTGAGCGCATGCAGTAAAGCTACGTTGTGAAGCAGAAATAGTCCACATTGCGCCAATTGCACAAGGGCCCAAAAGTTTATATACTTCCTTCCTCTATCTCTCTCTCTCCCAATCATCCTCCTTTCCTTCTTTGTTCCTTTCTTTGTTTCCTGATTGCCTGTGACGTCAGAATATCGACGGACTATTAAAGTGTTTAGGCAGATTAATTAATTTGATTAATTAATTTGGTCTCATATAAACTATTTGTTCATTGTTTGGAGCCTGTTACGTTGTCACGTTTCTCTTTAGTTAATTTAGCCTTCATTTTCTGCTACCTCAAGTTGTTACAGAACTTTCACATTTGACATGAAAATGGACTCTCAGTCTGGTTTACTCCGAATTCTTCTCTACAACTCTGTGACATTTTTCACATACTACATACCTGTCTAAACTCGCACTTTTAAATTTCTTGTCAAGTGAAATTGTGTGGTTGAAACGGCACTTTCGTCTCTCATAACCAGAGTTTTGAAATTAAATGCTCTAAATTTTGCAATAGATACGTAGTATGGTAATTTCTTAAATGCGTACATTAACAAGTTTACGAATGCTATATTTAGTTTTGATTTTTAAGCTGGCAACAACAAATTACGTATTCTAGAAGGGAATTTTGTAATTCTTTGTATGGTCACAGATTATAGACTTTGCATGATATATTTCTATTATGTTTAAGTTACAAGTAAGACAAAAAAAATTACAAATTTTATTGGAGAGTTGGTCCAAATCAGGGGCAAATAGCACTAAATTTCACATTTACTCATTTATAATCCTGCGATGTTTACTGTGAATATGTAAAAGTTCACAGGAATACATACACGCATCATGAATTATTTTACAGTCGTTATAGTAGAATAAGCTGTTATCTTTATTGCGTAATATCCATGTTTGTTTTAAATCTTCGATTTCTGTGTAAATAACTCGTCATAACTCCTCTTGTTACCTGTCCTGTTAAACTTGTTACGTATTTAGCCAACGCTGGCCCCAAGTACCAAGGCGGCTGGTTAAGCATATTTCTGATATACACAATGGCTGTTACGTCAGGTTTAATGGCGTAACTTTGTAACTAAGAACAGACGTTTCCGGGCCAATGCGTATTTACGTATTTTGCTTGTCACGGTCATATAACGTCCTCAAATTCATGAGAGGCAATATTGAATCACTTTGCATAGCGTCGAACGGTGGGGTGATAAAAAAGAAATAATAAGAAGAATAGAAGAGGTTTAGAAGAAAGCGTTCGTGTCTTAATTCGAGGTACTGTCCAGGCATGTATATGGAGGTACTGAGGAACACCGCGAAAACTGTCAAGGTAGTTTTGGTCGAGATTTGGACCAGGAACCTCCCAAATACGAAGCAGTGATAATCACTCGACGGTAAATTTGGGACTACGTTTGTTATTCGACCGTGTTCGAAAATTTCTTTCCATATCGGAAAGAAATTTTCTTGTTTGATAAACTTAGAAATATCAAAATGCACTTTTCCGGGCAGCAATAAAGCTATTGAGAGGAACCTCTGGTAGGGCATGCGGATAAAAAGTGGGACAATCTGCGAGGAAAACTAATGAAGTCATACAAGTACATTTGTCTCGATAGCGTTTTTTTTTACTTAATACGCCATCACGAAGGTTCAAGAACACGAAGGATCGGAGTGAATGGAACAAATCAGCTTCTGGTTTGTTCTGATATGTTAATTTATTGAGCGAGAAAATAAATATTACAAAACAAAATGCAGAAGCTCCGTTAGATGACAGTAAGCGCGTAGAAAACTGAGTAGGTCGACATGTGCATGTCTAATCAC